GGGGATATCAACAAGCATTATCAACACAGCGAGACTGTTCTTACTGTCTGTCAAAACCTGTTCTTGAGGCAAAAACCATCCACAGCAAGCAGTACTGTCTCCTAGCAGGCAAGGTCTTGAAATGATGGCTAGCCAGGGAAGACACCCATCTGTGTTATGCTAAATCACAACTTTAGGTCTGTTAGAAATGGCTTGCCAATATTTATAAGTCAGACTAACTGAAATACAACCTGTCTGCCAGATGCTTCGATATGTGAGATGTCAATACACATTCTGATTGCCAACCTTTAGCAGAGAGTATTTTTATGACGTTTATATAAAATCAGTAAATGGTAAGATCCAGCCATATGAAACCAACTGCACCCAGCAGACTGATACAACAAAAGAATAACACTGCCATTTCTTCCCAGCATTTTGGTTTATAAGCATAACCTGGTTGTAACTTCTTGGGACTGCCTAAATGTTTCCTCAGTTTTCCTAGCAGTTCTTTTACAGTATGTACCAAGAAATTGGATATGTTCTACATGTTGTATTAATTGTATGTAGAAGATTCTGCCTCTATAAACTGTTTTTCACATATAGACTTTTCAGAAACTTAAAACAGCTCTGCTTTGCAGAAAAATATGCTGCCTACAAGTATTTTAAAAGACTTTTTTTTCTGTAATGTGTAGGAAATTATGATTCATAATAAAGCTTTATCACTGCACGTGTCGCAGTCAAGCTTTGACAGTGTGGAAACCATAGCAAAAATGTTTTGGTCATCTACAGAGTGTGTAAAATCACCAGGAGGATGTTTTCCAGTTATTTTATAGAAATTGTACAGAATTTAAGTTAAATTGTCTAAGTGCCATAAATCAATCATACCAGCACTATTTGTGCCACTGTAGTAAAGATTACATCAGTGTTTCCATTATATAAAAAAAAAAGAAAACCACTATTTTTCAGGGGTTTCTAATTCAGCCATTAAAATTGGCTCCAATCTAAAACTTGGCAACCAAATTCACCACTTGGGAGCAATTCTTTTAACCATTTTTTTTTTCAATGGCTTTGGCTTTCAAGCTACAAAATACTTCTGAAAAAGAAAATTAGTGGTTTCAAATTTTGGTGAACTTCTACCTCTCAAAAACATTGTTTTAAAAACTGATAATTTTGCGTGTCATAAATCTGTAATGTGGACTACTGCCTCTGGGTAATTTGAATAGAAGTAGTGTATAAAAATTGATGGCTTATTTTGCTTAAAAATAAATGCAATTTCCCATGAAAACTTTTAATCCAATAAAATTTTGATGAAAGTCTTTCTTATGGCAAAATGTGGTACACATTACACAAGGAAGCCTTTATGATTAATTTACGCAACATCAATTTCATCCATTTTGATTTCTGTGGTAACAGACACTGTATTTTGATGCCTAGAATTAAATCTGTCCATCACATTCATCAGAAAAATTCTCCTTTTGTTAGCACAGATCCATCTGTGATCATGACACGGTGACTGACAAGTTGTGTAAACAGCAAAAAAGAAAATGATACTTTAAAAGCAGCAAAGAAACATAGCTAAAATGAAATGGATTTTGTTTAAAAACATTTGTATTGAGTTCTGATTTGAACCCACTTCTAACAGTCTCAATGATTCTCATGAACATTAGACTTAAATTAGGTTTTAAACCATAGAAGAGTTTAGTACTATCATCTTAAGAAGTCTTTCAGACTTTTTTTGAGAAGTCATTTAAAACACAATCATTACTAAGTTATATTAGATGACTGAGGGCAGGATACTATGATATCTGTTTCATATTTAGACCTTATGTCATCAGTGTCCATTTTTTATACTATATTGCTTGTTTGCTTTTTTTTTTTTTGCCAGTTTGCTGCAGAGCTATTCTTTTCAAACGGTTATTTGCAAGATAAAAATATTAGAAATATCTCCCTCCTGCCTTCCCCACATTACTTCGGGGGATCAAGGTTACCACCTTCATATTTCGTGAACTTTCAAGGAAAACATTTTTCTGTTGAAAGAAAAATAACACTGAACATAGACTACATTCATAGAAAACACTGTGAGACATTTTAATTTAAATGTAAGAAGTAAGATAACAGAAAAAGTCCAAAGGAAATAGAAAAGACTGATTCTATTACAGGAACAGATGCTATGCTTATTACTTAAGGTGTTTCATTAACAAATGTTATTATATTTTTATACTTGTTTTGTTATCAGTTGACATTTTTTTTGTATAATGAAACTTTATTGTATAATACCTACAATGTGCACTTGGATTTAAATATTTCACCTGAAAATTCAGTTGAGGAAGGCAAAGTGTTTGGTGAGAAACAAAGAGCAGACAATGGCACAGCTGGAATCCTACTTTCAAGAAACTGCACTAGACAAAGAGAAATGACATGAAACATAGCATTGGTCTGTAGCCACATCATACTTCTCTAATGGCTTTGCAGCTCTCAAAGCCCAGTAAGTTTGAAAGTGAGCTTATTCTAAGAAACTCCAACGTATCTCCAAGCGATGTTGGCAGGACAATAGGTGTCAGCCCCTTTGCATAAGCCTACAACTCCAACCACCTACTAAAACTGTCTCCAGGATTTCAGTTGTATGTGAATGTGAACTACCCTGTACAGCACTACTATTCACTATTTCAGATATAAATTGACCTGTGTTAATTTAGCTTGTGATGGCATAGTACTAGATAAAACCCTCTATATTCTACCACTAATTGACTACAGTTTTCTACCCTGAAGTAGTCTTTCCACGTCAATCAATCCTTAAGCAAAGCTGGTAACACTATGAACACTTTTTTTGATTATATTGTTGTACTAGAGCTGGAAAGCCAAATGAACTTAATACCAAATCCTGACTACTTGATAATTAAATCGTATGAAATACAATATGGTAAATCAGCATTAGTGTTTGCTTAATTATGTACATTAAATTCACTCTGAAAAATCTTAAGTAGGAATGACTAAGGTTTCTCACACTCTAAATCCTAATTGTAAGATGCTTGATATCAGGATCTTGTCTTTTAAATTTTTTTAATTTCATTTATTCAGCTATGAATAGGACAGAGAAAGAGTAACAAATGGTGATGCGCTAGAAAAATGGAGAAAGAAAGAGGAAAATAAGAATCCAAAATTACCTATATGTTGTAAAAAGAGTAGGGACACTAGTAGTCAGCTTCACACTGGCCCAAGAATCACGGCCAAAAGAGAAGGCTATGTGGCATGGAGTGGACAGAAACAAAAGTGCCCAGCAGAAGGAAAGAACATTCACCTATGCAGAGGAAACTGTATATGCAATTACCTCTTCTAGAGAGCTAACAAAGCATACACTGTAGGGAAAGTATTCTAGAAAATCAAGGTCCTGAAAGAATTTTTTTTTAGATTAGGAAATTTGAGCTTCATGAACTCAGAAACTCAGCATCTCTCTTTGGGACTTAGAGATTGTTTTGTTATGAACAGGTAGCAGAACGATGTTTCTCCAGGAGTAATATTCTCAGATATCATGAGAACCCTGAAAGCATTTAACTGCTGATGAAATTATCTCCAGCATGCCTTAAGAAAAGAACCTGTTCACCGCAAATCACTTACAAAAATAAATACGTGCTGGTTTATGGTAGGAAATAATGTTTTCTCAAGAGGACAAGCTGAGTCTAATTTCAACCAGGACTGATGATAGAAAAGATCAAATCTTATACTAGCATTCACCAGCTGCAGTACCTCCCTGAAGAGAGGCGCACATGGGTTCCTAATTACTTTGTGTGACCTACAGAAAAAACATTCTCTTCTTTTAGCTGAAGGTCACATACTAAAACCACCATGACATTCATGTATTTGGAAACTTAATATAGACATCTTAATCAGATCTCGCAACATCAGAATTTAATTGTAGAGCTTCATAATAATGAGGCGCGCTTATATATGCCCATGCATTTATGTGCACAAACAATCATGCATAAACAAATTTTTGTGGTCAAAATTCATGGAGAAGGAAGTTTGTTTGGCATATGCTGACCTCAAATCATGAAATAAAAGCAGTTGTTAATGACACAGAAGTATTAAACTACCACTGTCTGAAAGTTTGCACAGTGTTTCAATGAGATTATTTTTTAAGAACAAATACAATTATTCTTCTAAGGTCCTGAGCAAAATAATAGCACAATCAATAAGAAAGCACAAGATGAATTAGATGCTTTCTACTAACTTGCTCAAAGCATAAAATGAGCTAGTACACTATATTACAATGTTTTAAAATAATCCACTGACTTCTCTGAAATTAGATGTCTTACTAAAAAACTTGATGCATATGCTGTTTCACTGCTGGCCTCAAAAACATCTAAATGCTTTAAGTTTCATCAGATTTGGTAGAATATCTTGCTACCTGGGCATTCAAAGATACCAGACAACATTCTCCAGTATTTTTGTAAAATTCAGCAATGAAGTGGTCAAACCCAGTTGTAGATGCATTTGCTGAAGGGAAACATTTTTTCCTAGTAAAGTCAGTGGTATTGCCGGGTAAGTTTAAATGCATGGAAAAAATGGAAAGTATTCCTACATGAAAAAAGTTATCCCCCAAAAATTCTTTACATAGGATTTGAGGGTAAGGGTAAAGACTAAAATGAGTTGGAACAAATGATTGGCTTCCACACTTTGTAAATTAGAAGTCCTAATGCTAATATTTGGCATAAGAAAAGCTGCCAAACAAAAGGAAATTGAAAAGAGTAGTCTCAATAAGGGAGAAAATGGTGATACAAAGTAAGAATAATGAGAAAAACATCTGGCAAACTTTAGAAAATTCACTAGTTTCCTTATTGAAAAACAACAGGTGAAAACTAAAAGCAAAAAGAACTGCTCAACAACTAAAAATTTGCATGCAAATCTTTTACCTAAAAAGATAAATATTTCTGCCTCAAAAGACTGAAGAGGTTGTTATCAGAAAAAATAAAAAATTACATATTTTTTCACATTGATGGTTCAAAAACTTTTCCACTGCTTACCTCATTGCAATGCTGTAAGACTCTGGATGGATACAAGTTTGGTCCAAAGGATTGGGTTGGTATGAGGCACTTGGTGTTGGCTTGCTCTTCTTTTTACCTTGTTTCTCACTGGTGAGTTGTGTACCTGCTTTAGTGAAAAGTGTATGACTTCCAAGCTGAGTTTTCTTGTTACTGTCAGAAATAAAAAGAAATGAGCATGTCATTCTAACTGAACAAGATCTTACCACAGTATTTAAGCATTAAAATTGCAGTCAGATTTTTATCCCATGTTCATTCTCATCAAAAAGTATATCACTCCTAAATGGTTGTTGTGGATGAAGCTTAACAACATCACAGCATAAAAATCTATCATATAGTTTTATGCATAAATTAATTTAATATAGAATAAACAGACTGTGCTTCATAAAAAATTCTGTGCAATGCCAAAAAAAGGTAACGTATAAAGTAAAAAAACAATTTGTAATATTAAAGCAAATGACAAAATGAGAGTGCTGATAGTGTAAAATTCCTCAACATACAGCCTACTGTTTAGTCTGCAAACTGGATAGTATCTTCTGTCTGTAAAATAGGTACAACTGTATTTACCTACTTGATAACAATCATGTGGGGAAAACTTTCACAATAAATTGTCAGTTCTTAGATTGCTATTTAAAATAAAAGGGATACAATTAGAAAAAATCATAACAAAATATCTTGTTCACAGTGCCTTTAGGTCAGCAAATTGCAGAACAAAGTCACAATGTTTAAAGTCCTTGAATAACATTACTTCACTCTCTATATTTAAGTTTCTGAAAACATATGCTCAAATATGGGTCAGGTTTAAATAAGAAAAATCTCAAATATGAAAAACTTAAACCAGTAAAAACCTAAGGGCCAAACCTACCACTATTTCAGAATTTAGAAATAATTACCAGAAAGATAAATGTCATGTTCTGCACTTGGGATGGAATAACACCAATCACATATGTAGACTGGAAAACAAGTGGCTGGAGAGCTGCTCTGCAGAAAGAGGTCTTGGGGTGCTGGCCAACAGTAAGTATAACATGAGCCTGCAGCCAAGAGGGCAAACCATGTCTTGATATGCAATAAATACAGCATTGTCAGCTAGTCAAAAGAGGTGATCCTGTTGTTCTATGCCTAGTGCCAATGTGGCCTCACTTTGAGTACGTGCACTTCTGGGATCCACAGCATAAAAAGGATGTTAAGGTCTGTGAAAGCATCCCTAAGAAGTTAACAAAGCTAGAAGAAAGGTAGGAAGTCGTGTTTTGTGAGGAAATGACAACACTTGGGCCATCTAGTCTGGAGAAAGGAGGCTTGGAGGTGGTCCCACTGTTCTCTACAATTCCCTGAGAAGGGAAGCAGGAGGGAATCTCTGCTCCTGGGAACTGATGACAAGATGGGAATGGTACAAAGCTGTGCCAGAGGGGGCTTGTACTGGACATTAGGAAACATTTATTTACTGTGAAGGTGGTCAAACCCTGGAGCAGACTTTCTGGAGAGATGTCCCAAACTTGTCAGTGTTTAAGAGACATCTGAATAACGCTCTCTGTAAGATGCTTTAACTTTTGGTTTGCTCTGAAATGCTCAAGTAGTTAGGCTTTCTGATTGTTGAACGTCCTTCTCAACAAAACTACTATATTCTGGTTTTGCAAAAGTGTCCTAAATACAGCCTTCCTGAAAACAGTGATTATAATCTTGACTCCTAGTCAGTTAGATTCAGCTACCATTTGAGTTGATCTGTTTTTCTTTAACTGGCAGGATAATAAAGCTTACAAAGTCTCAGGGAGCCCCATGGGCAGAGTTGCCCACTAGGGCAGGAGGACTATATATAACAGCAACGCTGCAACAGAGGAGATGAAAGAAAAAGACCTGTTACAGACAGCATTCACACTTCAGTCTCTAACATGGAACATACGCAGAAATGTAGGTGTAGCTTCTTCTTTCAATATCAATATTTTAAATAATGATTAATTAAAAACCATTAACTATACAGTGGCCGTTCAATACCTCAAGGGGAGCTACAAGAAAGAAGGGACAGACTCTTTAGCAGGGTCTAAGGTGACAGAACACGGAGAAATGGATTCAAACCTAGATGGGGGTAGACTTAGGTTGGATATTAGGAAAAAAACCTTTTACAATGAGGCACTGGAACAGGTTGCCCAGAGAGGTGGTGAAAGTCCTGTTCCTGGAGACATTCAAGGCCAGACTGGAGGAGCTCTGAGCAACCTGATCCAGCTGTAGGTGTCCCTGTTTACTGCAGGAGACTATTGGAATAGATGACCTTTAAAGGTCCCTTCCAACTCTAAGGATTCTGTGATTTGTTAACTTGCAAGTACAAAAACTAATTCACACAGCACTCTATAGCCATCAACATGACTGGAGAGGGCAAAAATAAAATCTTCCCAAAGTCCATTTCAGAAAGTTTTGATCTTGTCACCTGGGCCCATATGGACTGTTATGCAGGCAATGCCTTTTGGAGCTTTATTCTGGCCTCAAACTCCAAAGCTATAGCAGATTTTTCAAGTTACAGTGTTCTCAAGTTTTATGGAATCTAACATCAGAAGTGTGCTCTAGAAAGGAAAAAAAAAATAGTGTTGTTAAACATTTCCTCAGTGAACTTCAGAAAAAAAAAATGGCATCAGCCTTCTTTTCCTCTATCTGTACTGCCACATTCACTAGAACAGATCTGTTCAACATAAGGCCTATCGATCATTTGCAGCCTCAAAAATAAATTCTTTGGTCTTCTGGTGATTAGTGTGCACACCATTTGGCCTCCAGCATGTGCCTTCTTGCCAGATGGGCAACCAATCTGAATCCCTTCCACTCGGGCAGTATGCCAGTCCTAATGTGCCTACCTCCTGCTTGGAAGTTACACATGTTCAGTTTGGCCAGCAGCAACTGGGAATACAGTATTGCTTCTGAGAACAGGGTTGGAAAAAGAATAATGTGCTTCCCTGGAAAATATTTTTTTGGAGATGAGAAAGCAGCAAAAGGGTGAGGATGGTGCTATCACTCTGTCCCTTCTTAGTTCTTTATATTGGATAGAGAAACAGGAAAGACAGGAGAAGGAAAAGATGCTGTCCTACAATGGGCGCTTTCTGTTATGGAGAGGAAGCATTTTAGATGAAGGAAAAAAGCAGAAGGAACAGTTGCAAGAGGAAAAGGCTCAGTACAGAAATGGGAAGTGAGATGGAAAGGAAAAGTATGACTCAGTGTTGACAAACTGGAGTTAGTAATGGACTTCTAACATATTTGAGAAAGCAAGCAGTCACATCATGCTTCGTAGGCACAGCAGAGCTTAGCCCAGACAGCTTATTTAACTTTCTCTCTCCAGGCACTGGAATTGAAACTCTCCAAAAATCCACTCTAGTTTACTACCAATGTGTTCTGCAGAGTATCAATCTTCACCACACTGAAATGGATTTAACAATCTCTAAGTTAAATATGAAGCACTGGCCTCTAAGATTTTAATACCTCATAGATAATGACACTGCCACATGTAAAGATTTTTCTGTTGATTCAGTTGAAGAATTTGCCATTAAACTTGTATTCTTATAGAGACTCTAACTTAGAGAACTAGACTAATAAACCATGATGATGCAATGCAAGAGCTATGTTCAACAACTGACTTAAAGAATTTAATTCATTTCTTTCAAAGTCTGAAGACCCAGTATTCCTCAAGTTTCAAATCTAAATACAAAACAGAAGGTAAAGGAGTCTTCCTATAACATTTTGGAAAATTTTGTCACGATGGCTAACATCATTATTACCTGCAGAAAGTCTTTATATAGTCTTGATTGAATCTGATGAAGCCAGCACACTGTTGGAAAGTTTTGGGACCCAAACCTTTAACTTCCTTGAGCTGTTCTCGATTTATAAATGGTCCATTCTTCTCTCGCCATTCAATAATATTTCTAGCTCTGGTGGCGTTCAATCCTGCAATATGTCTGAGAGTAAAGTTTACAAAATACATTTTCACCATTGAATAGTCATTAATACAACTCTTATCCGTTTCAAGTATACACATTACAGTATAAAATTTGGTTTAAGAAACCTACAAAACTTAAACACAGCTAAGAATGTTGTAAAGAAACTCCTAGAGCAAAGGAACAGTCTGAAAAAGGATCTTTTTCTCTGAATTCTGTGGAAGGAATCCTATGCAGTCAACAAAACTTCGTACAGCAAAAGGGTTCTGCACATGCCTAACTAGTAAGCCAGGGACTCATAATTTATGATCTGTGGGCTATTTCTGTAATACCAATTTGATTTGTCATGTCTTATGGCCTGCCCCCAGCTGCCCTCTTCAGGAAACTACGTGGGAGGAAGGTTCAGGACAGACGAATTACTCCTGTGAGAGTAGCCCCCTCTCAGATATTATCTTCCAGTGATACCGCAACACCTTGCCCCAACATGAGGCACTGGTGTCTGCTACCCAGAAGGAGGGTAGCTGAGAGCAGCTTGCCTTCCTTACACAATTTCACAGATCCACACAGCTTGTTTCTTTTCTCTCAGCTGCTCTTGAAATATAAGACCAGCTGGGAACTGACTTCATGAGTCGTTCTGAGGGCAACTTAGATCTGGCAGAAAACATACCTGTACAGTGTAACTGCAGTAAGCCATATTCCTTCAGGAAGCTGTGTGTTTGTTGCACCTCTTCTATATGTACATACACACACAGTTATATCCAGAGTACAACAATCACAAAAAGAGATAAAAACTGTGTTGGGCATTTACTTCTGGAGAAGTCAGTTGGGCATTTACTTCTGGAGAAGTCAATGTCACCCACATGGCTCCAAATACCAGATATCATTGCTTTAAGAGACCTGTTTGTGGAATAAAACTGATTCTAGAAAAAACAAACCTGGCAGAAATAGCTGAAATTGGGAATGAGAATAAAAGAAAAAAAAATCTGCTATCCTCATTTTTAAGCAGAAATATAAAAAGAAATCCAAAGTTGGCAAAAACTGAGACACCTCTTTAACTGTAGACAAAATATTAGGCATAGAATTTACTCCAAAAATTTCATAGAAACATTAGGAAACACAGCTTATTTTCACTGTCAAAACACTTGATGATCTTAAGTCTTTCAAGTATAACACTCAAAAGTCATGCAGGTGCTGTAATGTTGCCACCCTTTTTAAGTGTAATATCTAGCAACAAGTGCACTTGATGCATAGGAAAGCATTATAATCAAGAGAGAATGAGACTGATTTCTAACCCAGAGAAATAAAATCCATAATATTTTTCCAAATAATTATGGGATAATTACTTAAAAAAAAATCACATTAAAAACAGAATCCACTTGCAAAAAATTTCCCCTTAAATTCTTCCTTTTCTCCTTTGCCCACTAGATTTTTACATCCTTCTTTGCTTATTAAATACAAAAATACCTTTGAATGGACAGAAGGTACATTGGGAAAATCCTTTCTTATTGCAGAAATACACACTGGTTATATTGAAGTTTTTCTAAATCGCAGTGTTGGTCCAAATTTTAACCTGTTTTCCTCCACGGTATAGTTTTATTTGGAGAATCACACACATCCTTAAAAACTGAATTCCAAGGACAGTGAAATACTGTGTTACTGTGTCATTTTCATGTAATTGGAAGTTTAACAAAAGACCCATTTGCTCCAGCTGAGTTAAAGTCAGATGGCAGACTAAACAGAGACTCTGTGATCCAGAGCCATGTAATTACTGGAATAGGAAAATGTTTGACTCACCTTAATAGTATTTCTGAGCAGATGTTAATATCAACTCCTACAAAGCTGACACACTCTTCAACCACACTGTCCAGAGTTGCTTTGAGCAAGGTCTGTGATACATCATGCTGAGAAACAAAAATGGAGATATCAGGTTACTGAAATATTGAAGCCTACTATTGTTTAAAGTTCTTACTTATGTAACGTTAATGCAATCCTTGCTGGAACTTATCAATAACTTACGTGATGGTACCTGTTAAAATCAAACAGTAGAATGTTTTTTTCAAATGTCTTTAATGTTTTTTCTTGCCACTCTTCTTTCATAATAAAAATCCCTAGAATAACTCTCTCTTCATATCAGCTTTTCTTTCTTGTTCAATAACTATTTATCCAAATTACATAAAAAAAACTACATTAAACACATAATGCTTTCTTTAAAGGAGTAATCTTTCTGTTCATCCACTGTCCTTAATCTGACATTTATGCACAACCTCACTTTGAGTTATTAAAAATAAGACAATGCTTTCAAAACAACGTATTTGGAGAAAAGATCACAAATGCTGTTCTTTTTCACTCACATACGCATTTGTGAAATTGTCCTATATATTAGCATCATACTACAGTACAGGCACTAGAAGAACAAACTAAGTGTGGATAATACATTACAACCCCGCAGCAATGATGTGTTTCAGATTTTAAACAGATTTCTAGGGAGATTGGCAGGTCCTCGACAGAAGCACCACTAAAGGAAATTCTTCCATTTTTTCCATTACTGTTAATAACACTTCCTCTTGTGCTCCACCCCCCCTCCAAAAAAAAAAAAAAAAAAGAAAGAAAATCTATCACACTTGTCAAAGATAAAAGATAAAAGTTCTGAAGCTCTAAGATTTCTTTCCCTTCACAGCACAGGCATACTTCAATCTATAACTTCTAGTTCCCCACACATATCCATCAGTGCTTAGAAGTCTGACCTGGAGGGAGAAGCCTCTCTAAATGCAGGAGCTAATTCAATCACTATGTTGGCTTAGCTTCAGGGCTCTTATACGTCACTCATGTAAATCTGAGTTGATCTGTTGTGGTTTTGTGATGCATTCATTTAGGACACCAGACTGGAATTGAGCCAAGGCACCCAACACTTCATCCACTACTTTGTTTAAACTTCTAAAGCCAATCAGATCTTTTAAAGTTATCATAATTAAATTTAACATGCCAACAGCATCAACTTCCATTTACAAATACTGGTAGTTCATTAATGAGTGATTGGTTCATACCTATAAGGAGCCTAAAACTTATGCCAGTGTCTCTCTTAGATCTTAATTCCAAGAAAATGTGAATGTGTTCTATCATATCACTTACTATGACATTTTATTGTAGCACACTTAAAAAAAAAAAAGTTGCATTAAAAAAAGTGAGTGCAGATTTCACCACTAATACTCAACACTATATAGTCTGCATGCAAAAATCCATGTAGTTGCACAGTCTCAACCTCACAAACACAAAGCTTAACAGAACATTTTGCAGACAAAACAAGAATTTGTACTTACTAATGTATTAGTAGTAAATCATAGCTTTTTTTCTTAAAGAGACACATAAAGAGAAAATGCCCTAAAACAAACACAAGAAAATCAACAAAAAAACCCCCACCATCTCATATATGTATACTTATGCCTTTCTGAAGATGTAGCTTCTCTTAGTAATTACATTCTATATACTCCTTCCTTTTGCCATCAGTTGAGTATATACTAGAAGATTCCAGCTCACACACACGTCGATGTATTTATGTAAACAGAACAGTAATATCAGACTAATAGATGAGTATAAGAATAAAATACCAAAATTGTTTAGAAGCATCCAAATTTTCTGTTCTTTGATAAGTATAGCTGCAAAATACAGAATTTGATTTTCCATCAAACACAAAGTTAAAATTTAGTAATGTAAGTACATATAACATTTTTCTTTATGATGGAGGAAGGAAAAAGAGCTAAAAATGCACAGTACTCAAAACACCCTTCTGCTTTTCAGAAAGGACACTGACTCACTCTTGATCACTCTTATTTATCTATATTTTTGCTTGCTTGTTTAAAAATTAATTAGAATAAAAAATAGCAAGTCTGTAAAAATGGCTGGGTAGAATGCTGTTTCCATAGCTTTCAGTCTCACTTCTTGAAATGATGATCATTCTTCAGTAGCAGAAATACACAGCCATGCAAGTCAAAATCGAGACATTCATCATCATCTCCACAATACTTAATAGACTGGAGTACAGCAAAGAAGGTAAAGAAATATAGAGATTTGGCCAAATCTTTCTAAGCAGTTCTTTGTATGCGACTTGATTCAGCAAGAGCTTTATTTCCATTTCTGCTAAGAGTGAACTCAGAAGCAAATAGGTCAACTATACTACAAATAAAATGGAAAAGGGTATATTATAACCCAAAATAAAGCATCCTGAAATACTTATGCTAATGGAAGAAAGATCAGTGCTCATGATTCCTCAGGTTTGTAAGTGAAAGTGGCATTTATCTGAAGATTTAAGATTGTGGATACAATACTTTGTGTAAAATTCAAGCAACAGAATGCAAACAATTTGGCAAAAAAAAAAAAAAAAAGATTCAACCGTTATTTCTTTGGCCAAGAATTCCTGCTCCTAACAAGGAATTCTCAGGTCTCTCAAAGATTATTTGCATCTTTTAATGTTATTGACGCTTGACAGTCACATCAAAAACAGACAAATATAAAAGGAGCAAATAAGCACGACAAAGCAAGGCATGCACAAACTCTTTAGTACCAATACCTAACAGAAATACCACTTGGAATGCACATCGCAGCACGTATGTCAAGGCAGAGATGAAGAAAAAGCTGAAAGGTAAGTGTGGCAGATCAAGTCAACATAAGACAGTGCAGCTGTTTTAGTAAACGTCTCAGAGCTACCAATACCTCTCAGATGTAAAATATATTCACAAGCTAGAGAACAAAATCAAGTTGCAAATGACAGAAAACTTTCCAGACAAGTCTGCCTTCCAAGACTTTCAGAGCTTCCTTTTGCTGTGATGGAGAAATTTCTACATCCCTCTTTACACTGATATGAAGCAAAGGGAGCGTTATAAGCACAGTTTCTAAAAGTAGTTAAAAGCATTACTTTATGATCCTAATATCATTGTAAAGACTTTCTCTACTAGCAGATTATACTTTAGAAAGGTTTAAGCATCTTTCTGTCTTCCAGAAAATTTTATTTGCCTTCTCCAGTATCAGAGGTTTGATATTATATACTTCTGTATACTATTTATATGCACTAGGGTGATATCATATTATTCAGACACTACTAGAAGCCATGTTACTCACTTGCTTCAAATAAAAACTGTGACCCTCTCAACTATAGAAAGTAATCTGTGCTTAGAAATATCAGACACTGTAACAGTATTTCAGTATTTGTTTTCTAAGGAATTACCCGGCAATGATTTCTGTCTTGCTCACTCTGAAGAGCTACGTGCACTCTAGAAATAATTAATGCTATTAAAAACCTTAAGATAGTGCTACAACACTAATTGAAAGCCATTTTTCAAAAACCTGTTGTACTCAAAATGAGATCTCCCAGCTGAGATATCTCTAGCAATATAGTCCCTATAAAAGTATGTGTGTCATTAGCACCAAAAATTTATGAAGGAAAAGAACCACTGTTCGCACGTAGTCTGGAGATGTGCTGCATCTGTATGAGAATAAATGGTGGATAAATACCCTGACTTTACTTGATCAAACTCTCAAAGTACCAGAGTAGTAGAGCTAGATTAGAACAACCAAACAACCCTAACCTGCAGCTTTTTGTGACAGTGACCCCAAACAAATACTAAAACACTGTACATAACCAGTGCACTCGGTAACCTTTTCCAATGCTGCTATAAAAATCATATTTTAAAGAAATAAATTAGGATTGTGTTTTGTGTGAAAGAAACAGTTTATAATTCAATTGCAAAACCCAGTGACTTTTAAATACATATATTTTATATTTATTAAATTAGTAGAAATCAACAAGACCAGCCCACACTTCATTATTATTTTACAATACCCAGGAGTCGAGCCAGCCACCTTCCAGCCCAGTTGGAAAGGAATCAGCCATTCCCCAGCGCCCACAGGCTCAGCACAGACATGACCTAATGCTGCTGCCCACGAAGTAGCAGTGAGGGGAAGAGCTCACGGTCCTGTGTAACAGGCATCAGGTTATGGACTCAGGCCAGGAGGAACAGTAACACGGCCAACATTTCTGATCAAATTATACCTCACTTGTCCTTTGAATCCAAGTCAGCCTTCAATGAGTAAAGAAGTAAATGCTTTTTTTTTTCCCCCCTTAAGTTCTGAAACACTTCTAGCAGCTCATAAAACATTATTTTGTTGGTACCTACCATTAACTTCTGTACCCACGAATTTTAATATTGGCATGTGAGACTAGCCAACATTGCCCTTAAAAACATATATACTTTCTTTAAAAAGAGGTCTAACCTTGCAGTCTGAATGACATTTACTGAATGAGAAATTAGGTGAGACAGCACACGCTAAGCAAAGTTCAGAACTATATCATGTTATAGAGAGTCAACCCATAGAAATGTGTTTTGCTTAAAATTCTTAGAAGGGAAAAACATTCTCTGCTAGTGCTGTGGCTCATATACAATCAGTTGGATTTCAAATGCTTGTGAAAGCTAGAAGCAAAATGTGTTCAGGACAAGCCCTTAAGTACAGCAAGACTAACGCAATGAAAATAGTCTAATGATGAGTAGTTTTCATGGGCAGAATTGGAGAAAAAAAGTGTACCTTTTCCACCTTTGTCAGGTGGAAATACTGGGAAATTCAGACTAGGGTTTTAATTTCTAGCATGCTCTGGAAAATCCCTTTCAGTTAGACCCTTGAGAAAACAAGCTTATTCCTCTGATGTTTGATAGAAGATCCTAACTTAAAGAATTTCTTTTGAAGACTGCGGCTTCTCCAAATGTTATATTGTTATAGGATACATTGTTATCTTATGTACTTAACTCTGATTCATTTCTTGTTTTCAAAAATCTGAATTCTGTTTATTTTAATGGCACATTACTATTACTGAAATACCCCAAGAGAAATAGATTTGTTTTCAAAGAAAATGATA